GAGGCGGAGGAGGAGGAGGAGGAGGGGGGAAGGGAGCAGGATGGGGGAGAGGGTAAGGGTGGAGGAGGGGCGAGGGCGGCGGGTCAACGGCGGCAGATCGGACATCTCGGGCGGACGCGGCCAGCGCACTCCAGCCGGGGAGGTTGCGGGCGGAGGCCTTGCCATCTCCAGCCTCCGCGCCAGAGGGCTCCCAGCCTTCCAGAAGGGCGGCCCCAGCGGCTCCAGCGAATCCCATTGCCCGTTGCCCGCGAGGAGCAGAGGAAAAGAAGGAGGAGGGGCCCCGCGGAGAGGCAGAGAGGTGGAAGGGAAGGAGGGAGGGAAAGAGAGGGGCTATGGCCATCGTGCTACCAGATGGAGCGCTGAAGAAGGAGCGAAGGGGCTTCTCTGGTCACGGCGAGCCTCGGTCGCGAAGAGGGCCCCAGACCCAGATCTGTAGGGGACGGCCCAAAAAGCAGAGCCCCTCCTGAGCCCGAGGGTGTCCGTGCGTCAGCGTCCTGGTCGCACGGGCGGGGGCGGGGCAGCACGACGAGGAGGGGAGCCGCGCGGACGCGGGCCCAGAGGCGGCCTCCGCGCCGGGGCACGTGAAGGGCGTCCGGAAGTACACCTGCCGCTTCCTCATCGGGATCGAGAACGACAAGGACTTCCAGGCCCTCTCCTCCCTCGTCGACCTCCTTCCCTCCTGCCTTCGTCCCTTTCGCCGCCTCGGCCTCCTCGTGCATTTCCCCCCTTCCCTTTCTCCCTCCATCCCCCCTCCTCCCTTATCCTTCTCCTACTCCTCATGGCTGGAAGACGAGGTTGCGACCTGGTTGAACGTCCTGCAATTTTGTCCGTTCGCGGCGAGACCGTGGGCGACGAGGTGCAGCACCCTCCCAGATCTATATCGTCTCCCTCCCAGACATATCTCCCCATTATAGATCACCGTGAGCAATGGCCTGGGAATGAGGCTGATGAAGAGGCGGCGGAGTTCCTCTTTAGTTAGCTGGGCGCATTGCATTTTCCTCTCTCGTGCGAGCTATTCTCGTGGACGAATATCTCGACAGTCTAACGCCCGTGATCGGGCACCGCTGCACCTGGCCACAGGTTCCAGTTTTGCCACAGCTGGTCCCCCAGCGTTGCGTTTGACATGCCAGACGCGAGCGCCGCGCAAGTTTCCTTGGAGAGCTCAGCGCTCGCGGCCTGCCTCTGCTAGCTCCCCGCGTTGACGCGCGGGTAGCGCTCGCCCCAGGCCTGCGTGACGGACCCTATTACGGGACTTTACGGTCCTGCGACAGCTCGCCAGTTTTGTACCGCACCCGTTTTCTTTGGCATTGGGCTCCTTTGTCGAGTAAAAAAAAGCTCCTCCCCCTCCTCCCTCCTCCTCCTCCTCCTCCTCCTCCTCCTCCTCCGCCTCCTCCGCTCTCCTCCTCCTCCTCCTCCTCCTCCTCCTCCTCCTCCTCCTTCTCCCCCTCCCTCCCTCCCTCCCTGCCTCCCTCCCTCCTCGTCGACCTCCTCCCGCTTCCTCCTCCCTCCCTCCCTCGCTCCCGCCTCCCTCCTCCTTCCTCCTCCTCCTCCTCCTCCTCCTCCTCCTCCTCTTCCTCGTTTCCTCCTCGTTTCCTCCTCCTCTCCTCCTCGTCCTCGTCCTCTTCCTCCTCCTCCCCCCTCTCATACTCACCCTCCTCCTCCCTCCTCCACCTCCTCCTCCTCCTCCTCCTCCTCCCTTCTCCTCCTCCTCCTCCTCCTCCGCCTCCGCCTCCTCATCGTCCTCCCTCCTCCTCCTCCTCCTCCTCCTCCCCCCTCTCCTCCTCCTCCTCCTCCTCCTCCTCCTCCTCCTCCACCTCCTCCTCCTCCTCCTCCTCCTCCTCCTCCTCCCCTCATCCTCTCTTCCTTGTGGAGGTCTGGTGGCTCATCCTCCTCCTCAAGCTGCTGCCATGCCCTCGCCGTCGATCTAAGTCATAACGCGTACACTTTACGCAGAGCCAGGCAGCAAGGCCCTCATCCTCCATCAGGAATGCATTCGCCGCCAGGCTCCGCTAGCAGGTCAGGC